ACGGCTGGATGAGTAGACGACTGCTCTGTTTTCCCTCCAGGTGTGGCTGGTGAGGCGAGGCTGCAGGTGATCCAGCCTGACAAGTCAGTGTCTGTTGCAGCCGGACAGACAGCCACTCTACACTGCACCCTGACTTCCCTGCTCCCCACAGGGCCGGTTGAGTGGTTCAGGGGGACAGGGCCAGGTCGGGAGTTAATCTTCAGTTTCAAAGGAGGCCTCTTCACCCGAGTGACAGAGATTTCTGACCGCACAAGGAGAAACAACATGGACTTTTCCATCCGTATCAGTAACATCACCCCAGCAGACACCGGAACCTACTACTGTGTGAAGTTCCAGAAAGGGACCCCTGATGATGTGGAGTTTAAGTCTGGACCAGGCACCCAGGTCACTGTGAGCGGTGAGTACGGCCTGGGCCTCCTTGTCCCCTGGTTGTGACAAGTCAATAAGAATGCCCTCCATTGTCTGACCAACAGCTAAGAATCAGGCACTGTGGTGGGTGTCCCCGAATTCAGCTGCTGCCATGAATCAGGGAAGGAGAGGTCTGGAGAGGTCCTGATGCTTGCTCAAGGCCCCTGATAAATGGTGGGAAAGTCTAGAACCCCAGTCTGTGGGTCCATAATTCTCGTCTTTTCCAATCCTGACCAATCCTCTGGTTCCAGGGATAAGTCGAGGGACTTACACTCTGAGTGACTTGGCCAATCACATAACCCAATCTTACTCCTGCCTCCAGAGAGTGTCTCCTCCATGTGGCTGACTCTTCCCTAACTCAACACTTACTGAGCACCTGCTGTGTGCAGGGTCTCATCTGCCTGCAAGGGAAACAGGGAACAAAACAGTCAAGGGCTCCTTTCTCATGAAGCTCACGATCCCTTCCCTTCCTGTGGACAAATGCACCCAGGGCAGGGAGGTGGAATATGTCTCTCTTTCAACGTAGAAGAATCACAGTGAGAAGAGGTATAAACTCACTGTTCATGCTGAGAGCCCAGGATGGAGAAGACGCCAGAGGCTGGCCATTTGTGGCGGGTCTGTGCAGAAAAGCATCATGCAATTCAGGGACTGACTTCCATAAGAGCACTGAGTCTCCCCTCAGCTCCTGGACATAGGCATGCAGGTGGTTTTATCCTGATTGTGCAGTTGTTACAGGAGTTCCCAGGCGTACCCACCTTGCCTGTGCACCAGAACTAGTAGGTGGCTCCAGCACCGGGTAGATCTGTTCCTTCTGGGAGAGCTCTCTTTCCACTTCCCCAAGCTGCCCACACAGGGGATGCCCTGGTTGAGAATGGATGAAGCTGGAGGGACCATCTCAGCCCATTTACAGATGAGGACACTGAGGCTCAGCAGATCCGGCCTGAGCAGGGAAGTGAGCCACAGCCTGACTCACAGCCCTGCTCTCTGCACATTCACTGTGCTGGCCAAAGTGGGAGAAAGTGCCAACCCTCTCCTCGAAACTCTTGTAAATCTTGTATGGTTCTCTTTTTCAGCAGTAAACATTAAGAAAGCACGGGAAGAGGTGGGCTAGCTTTGAACCCCCAGATCAGACAGGTATGCAAACATCTGGTGAAGTGTCGAGCCTGTTCCTGGAGGACATGGCTTCTCAAGTGTAAGAGCTTCCAGAGTCTTCTCCAGTTGTGTGGTGTTGCTCCTTCACTGATCAGCCTGGGGCACTGGCCTGGACAGAGCAGAGGGGCCCCCGCAATCCCAGCACACTGGGCACCCCATTCCTGGCTCTGCAGACTAAGGATGATTGGGAGGTACATCCTGGAGGCTGTTCGGCTCCGTGAGCGAGAATTCACATTCTAGACTCAGTTGTCTGGACCC